CGGGAGACCCTTTCCCCTACATCCACTCAAGGATGCTGTTTTGGACAGCTTGCTGCCATGTTGCTTACTGCTACATTAAAACAAAATCCAATTTGCTTCTGCAGCAGCGGCATCCTGCTAGTGCTGGGGAAGAGGCTTCCATCAGCTTTCTGCCATGTGTCTTTTCACTCCTCTAAAGGGATCTGGAATTCTGTTGACTGATGAGGAACTCTTAAAACTCTGCTGGTTTTCCTTGTACAAAAAACTTCTTCCATTTGCTCTGTTTGTTCATAAGCACCTTGACTCACACACACAGGTTGGCTGAAATGACAGGACGTCCCATGAGAGTTGTGGGCTGGTATCACTCTCACCCTCATATTACTGTCTGGCCATCACATGTTGGTAAGAGAAGTCTTGGTCTAGGTTCTGTGTGAAAACTCACAGCTGGCTAATTGTATTACTCAATTTAATGGATTTTCAGAGCTGCACATCCCAACTATCAAGTTTGGTTTCTCATGTGTCCTCTGGTAGGACAAGATTTTTTGTGTGGGTGGGCTTCGGGAACCTCTGCCAGGATAGCCCCATTCGTCTCTGTGTGCTCCAGGTGCTTAAACTGCATGTGACTCAGATGCCACAGATCAGCTACTGTTAGTACTGCTGTTCTTCCAGGCAGGAAAACTAGACCTACAGTGTGAGGAATACCAAAAAAAACTGGGAATCACAGGTCTGCTGTGATGATTTTTGACAGATGTCAAAAATCAATGCAAAAATGAAAACTTTTGAAAGAAGGGTGTGAGGATCTTATATGTCTTGGACGTTATGGCTATATGATGATCTGTGATACTAGGCTGATGCTAAGATCATTTCTTGGTTTGTTAACTCATCCTGTATTTTTAAGATTTGCTATTTAATTACATTTTAAATTGGAACTTTTTTTTTTAACTTAGTCACTTGGAGTAAGTACTTTAAAATAAAGCTTGTGACACTTGTTACCAAATCCCAGGTCACCCTTCAAAAGGTGGCAAATCTTTTTCCACTCCAGGTCACTGGTGCAGTTCTCATTGTCTTACTTCTTTGTCTGCAGATGTCCGCACACAAGCTATGTATCAGATGATGGACCAAGGTTTTGTAGGGCTTATCTTTTCCTGCTTCATTGAGGACAAAAATACAAAGGTAGGCAACTTAAAAATGGCAGTAAACCCTCCAAGTACTCATGAGAAATGTCATCCTCAGGGCAAAGCTGAAATCCTTGCATGCAGCCTGCAAGAAGGGCTGAGCTCTGCTTGGAGCACAGTCAAAGCACAGCTAGAATGGTGATGTTTGGATCATAATCACAGTGACAAAAGAATGAGTTATTAATTACTCTGTGCTGATCCACAGCTTTCCAGGCAGCAGAGCTGGGCTGGTTCTGGGACTGCAACAGATGGCTGCAGTATGTGCATGCAATGAAATGTGTGAGTGCCCTTCAGCTGTTCAGTCCAGCAGATACAGTGTACTGCACCTCCGTGCCTCTGGCCTCTTTAGGCTGCTATAGTGCGAGATAAGCTGATGGTGGGGTGTCTTGTATAGTATTTCCAGGTAGCTATTGTTTAAGATTTTTTTTCCACAGTTAATGGGTCTGTCAATACCTGCTTGAAAACAGTTCCAGCATACCAATCAAAGTGAAAAGCCTGTACCTTTGCTGTTAAAATGTTATTTGAAAGCATATTCTGCTTCCTAAAGGAGTGTGTAATTTCAGATAATTTTTGCTCTTGGAATCTGACTTTCTGCTGTCTCTCTTAGACAGGCAGGATTCTCTACACATGTTTCCAGTCCATTCAGGCCCAGAAGAGCTCAGAGTGAGTACAACAGAAGAATATTACGTCTAGTGTCAGGTTATATTTCAGCTTGTCTCTCCTTTCTGAGTTGTCTCAAACAAGAGGCTTCTAGGCTCATCATGAGGGGCAAATATTGTATAGAGATGACTGAATGAGGTCTCTATTTCTGCTAATGCAGGCTGCTTGAAGAGAATCTAAAGATTTGGGCTGATTAATTTAGCCTAGATAATTTGGTAGCTTAAGATTTGTTGTAGGACGTTGTAGTCTGAGTGTGAATTTGTGCTGTAATCCATTCTGTAGAAGGCCCACGCTTTTGCTTTCAACTCTAGAGGTCAAGGCTTCAAGCTTGCATGGTGTAGAGTCCCCACCAACCGCACACACCCTGTGCATCATATTGTCAGTACTGTCCATGTAGTTGCTTTAGCATTTTATCATTAAAATTTTAGACAAGTGTGTGGCTATAAAAGGCTTCCATTTGCCTATCAACTCAGGCATGTGTTCCCAAAAGTAAACCTGCAGCAATGCCATGCATTGGACAGATTGTTGCAGGTTTATAGAAATACTTTTTTTTTTGTTTTTTTTTCCTCTGCTGCTTTGAAGTTAATTGCGTCTGATACCCCTTTAGATACGAAAGGATTGAAATTCCTATTCATGTTGTCCCCCATGAAACCATTGGGAAAGTGTGTCTGGAATCAGCTGTAGAGCTGCCCAAAATCCTTTGCCAAGAAGAGCAAGATGCCTACAGGAGAATTCACAGGTGACAACACTGGGGCTGCACCCCTCTTCAAGACTATCTTTGGTAACATGTTCTACTGTTGCTGTACTTAAGGTACCATAACTTTAGCAGGGGTATAGAAAACAAGAAGTACGTGCAGCTCATGTGCCTTTGTAGAAGAACTGATTGAATACCTTCACATTAAAGAGTTCAGGTTCTCTCAGCCTTGCACATAAGAGCTAAGCATAACTACTTTGCTGCAGCAAAAAAAAAGAGAGCTAGAGTGTGTGTGAGCTAATGGTGGCACTTCAGTGATCTGTGTGACAGTAATTAGTGTTTAACCATGGTAAGAGTGCTGAGAAGAAGTCTGAAAAATGACACTAATTTTTTTTTTTTTTTTTCTGCCTCTGGCGCTCAACACTGATGTTTCTGTGCTGTAAGCTGTTTGTTACCCTTGTGACTGTAAAGGGCTTCAACAAGTGAAGAGGTTTAGATGTACCTGCAGTGTCGGTGACTCTGGCGCTCAACACTGATGTTTCTGTGCTGTAAGCTGTTTGTTACCCTTGTGACTGTAAAGGGCTTCAACAAGTGAAGAGGTTTAGATGTACCTGCAGTGTCGGTGACTTGTAGGTAGCTGGTTCTATAGCTTGGGTTTGCTTAATATGCATTTCACTACTGTCTTGTCACTAACCTGCATTCTGTTCATTCTCTTAGCCTCACCCATCTGGACTCTGTAACAAAGATTCATAATGGCTCAGGTAAGGATTCATTTTTGTTTGTGAGAATCCAGGATGCTGCTCCCAGAGTCAAAACAGTAGAGTCTTGAGTAGGGGTTGGTTTGGGTCTAATTTCGTGGGACAGTAGAACACAGCTGTGTAACAGTCCCCACTTTGCCATAAAAGGCACTTGTAAATAACTATAAAAGCACAAACTTCTATTTCTTTGCCATGCAGTTCATTTCCAATCACAAACACTGTGTAGCCCAGAGAATTCCCTGGGACTGTTATCTTGTTACGTAAAGTCTAGTGGAGGAACAGAATCATAACTAAACACTTTAAAGGAAAACATCAAGGGCTGTAAAATAACCTAATACTGGGGTTTATGAATGATGTATCCTTCGACCTTTGTACAATTGGTTAAAATTACAATAGATGCTGGGGTTTTTTGGGGTGGGGTTTTTTTTTTTTTCTTTTTTTTATGTTAGAACAGCAAGGGGATTTTGTATTTGGTGAGTCTTAAAGTAGTGTCTGGCTGACCTATACACATGCTTGCATCTCCTGGCACTTCCTGTATGTTACATGCATATGATGTTTTTGCTTTTGCCAGTGAGATAGGGTGAATCTTAATCCTGCTTCTGTTCCAAGATAAATACCCTATTGTACATTCTCACTTGTTCAATGAATGAGGCATTCTTTGCTTCTGAATATATAAATTAATTAGCATCAGTGATGACTTATATGCAGATTTTCAGATTTCTGTTGTAGGTCTGTCATCCCTCTCCTGGGTGTCTAAAGGTCAGGTTGAAATAGCTTGTCTCCCTGTTCAGCAAGCTGCCGATTCTGACTTTTCTGTAGGGATGTCTGGTTGCCTTGGTCAGGATGTTGGAGGGTTTCCTTGGTGTCTCTAATGTTCTTGGCTTTGGGGTTGTTGTAGTATACTGAGTCTTTTGTGTGTTTGCACTGGCATGATATATTCTTACTTTTTCCAGTGTTCACAAAGAACCTCTGCAGCCAGATGTCTGCTATCAGTGGTCCACTCCTTCAGTGGCTGGAGGACAGACTAGAGCAGAACAAACAGCGGGTGCAGGAACTGCAGCAGGAGAAAGAGCAGCTCCTGGAGGAACTAGCTGCTTTAGAGTGAAGGAGGAAATGCAGACCCTTCAGAAAAAACTAATGAAAAAAACTCTACAAGACCTCCTCCTGGCTGAAGGATGGCCCTATATTGCCTTACAGTGAAGATACTAGCTGTGCCTCACCTCTTGCCCCATGCAGCAAAGAGTACTTCTACAGGATAAGGGCTTTATCTGCCCCAGCTTGATGGAAAGCAGTGGTATCTCTCCAGGTGCTGCATGATGCAGTGCAATTCTAGCTCAGTGGGGGGGTTGGGCAGTACCTGAAGAGACTTCAGTTCTGGAAGGCACATACCTAGGGAACATGTTTCTTCCTCCCCTATGTTTTGACGGAAGTCTTACTGCTTTACATGTATTCCAGGAGCCTAGAACAGAAGGGTAAGAGGGGAAAAGTGTCTGTGCAGTCAATATCTGATGCTGCCAACTTCTGCTGCCTTTTAGTAGTTTCAGTTGACCGTGATCTTACATCTAGTAATGTTCTGGATTACTGGTTATCCACCCAGGCAGGTAAGAAGTGGGAGGGAAGCTTGGGAAGCGACCAGGAAGAACTTTGACATAAGATCTGTGTTCAGCATACTTCAAACCAAATAAAGAATTCCAAAGCCAGAGCTGTTTGGAGTTGAAATGAAATGGATGCTACAAAGTGTCAGTGCCTCTATTTTTGGACACAGTCTGTATTCTCCATGTAATGCTGTTGCATGCCCAGCACTGAGGTTCTCTACAAAATGGACTTTCTGCTGGCTTAGTGGGAGGAGCGTGGTTCCTTCCCAGAGGGAAAAAGTTTAAGATGCTGAGAATAGAACTGATAGATATGCAAACCTGTAATTTTTACATGCTGAACTTAATTGCAGAAACTTCATTAGACTGAAATGGAACAAAATACCTGTTGTTGAACTAATCCTTTAAATGTTCTTGCTGTTGCATTTCAGAGTATCCCCCCTCATGTACATCATCTGCATTCTGTTATGTGAAGTCTGCCTCATAAACAAAGGAACCAATACCACAGTTAAAACTTATGTTTCAGCTTCTCTATTCTAATCTAAATCCTTACATGCTCAAGTAGATGAAAATGAGCTGCCTGCATTACTGCAATGGAGGTTATGACATTCTTGACATCTTATTAAGCTTGACTGTTGCTTTGGGAGAATGAAAATAACATAGCTGAGAAAGAGGCACTCCCTTTCTAGTGAACAGCCAACATTGATTAGTAACTGTAAATTCCTGTCAGACCTGGAAGACCCATAGCCAGCTTGGTTTTATCATAGAATGTTTTGGGTTGGAAGGGACCCCTAGAGCTCATCTAGTCCAACCCCCCTGCAGTGAGCAGGGACACCATTAACTAGATAATGTTGCTCAGAGCCCCATCCAACCTGGTCTTGAATGTTTCCAGGGATGGGGTTTCCACTATCTCTCTGGGTCACAGAATCACACAGAATCACAGAATCGTAAGGGTTGGAAGGGACCTCAGGAGATCATCTAGTCCAACCCCCCTGCTAAAGCAGGCTCACCTAGAGCATGCTACACAGGACTTCACCCAGGCGGGCTTTGAATATCTCCAGAGAAGGAGACTCCACAACCTCCCTGGGCAGCCTGTTCCAGTGCTCTGCCACCCTCAGAGTGAAGAAGTTCTTCCTCATATTCAACTGAAACCTCTCGTGTTTCAGTTTCCATCCATTGCCCCTAGTCCTGTCGCTGGACACCACTGCAAACAGACTGCTTCCGTCCTCTTGACTTCCGCCCTTAAGATATTTGTATGCGTTGATGAGATCCCCTCTCAGTCTTCTCTTCTTCAGGCTGAACAAGCCCAACTCTCTCAGCCTTTCCTCGTAGGGGAGATGCTCCAGTCCCTTTATCATCCTAGTAGCTCTCCTCTGGACTCTTTCTAGGAGTTCCTCGTCTTTCTTGAACTGGGGAGCCCAGAACTGGACACAGTACTCCAGGTGGGGTCTCACCAGGGCAGAGTAGAGGGGGAGGAGAACCTCCCTCGACCTGCTGGCCACACTCCTCTTAATACACCCCAGGATACCATTGGCCTTCTTGGCAACAAGGGCACATTGCTGGCTCATGGTCAGCTTATTGTCCACCAGGACTCCCAGGTCCCTCTCAGCAGAGCTGCTATCTAGCAGGTCACCCCCCAGCCTGTAGTTGCACCACTCAGCTTGGTGTCATCGGCAAACTTGCTGAGGGTGCACTTGATCTTGCTGTCTAAGTCATTGATGAAAACATTAAACAGCACCGGTCCCAGTACGGGCCCCTGAGGGACGCCACTCGTCACCATCTGGACATCAAGCCATTGACCATGTTTTGTCAGACTTCACTTTTCAATCTTTCTGCATTGATACTAGCAAAACCCCAAAAGTAGAACTTACTTGAAGGAAAATTGTCACTGCTTTCCCCCCCCCCCCTTAAAAGTGCTGTGAAAAATGTTTTTGTTCCCTCATGGCCCTCCAGTGCAATCTCCCAGGGTATCCTGCCAAGAACATCCCAGCTAAAGCCAAAATGAGCTCTCCTGCAGTCCATGCCTGCAATTCTATTATTTGTTTTGGTTTGTTTCTCTCAAGATCCCACCCAGGATCTAGGGAGGCTAGGGGCCATTCCCACTTGAGTTTACAGACAGCCCACAGTAGAAAGAAGCTAGTTTGGTTTTGAACATAATCACCCCGTATGCACTCCCCCAGCAACAAGTTCTGTCCTTTCAGCCTCCCAGTACTTGATGGGCTGCCAGCCACATGCTGCTGTATGTGGTCTGAGCTCTAAGACAAAGCTGAAATCCTGTGTTTGCCTTTGCATGTAGCCTGCAAGAAGGTCAGAGCTGTGCTTGGAACACAGTCAAAGCACAACGAAAATAGTGATGTTTGGGTCATAATCACAATAACAAAAGAACAAATTATTAATTTCTCTGTGCTGATCCACAGCCTGGGCTCTCCAGCCAGCAGAGCTGGGCTGGTACAGGGGTTCTGGGACTGCATCGGATGGCCACAGTATGTGCATGCACTGAAATGTGTGAGTGCCCTTCAGCTGTTCAGTCCAGCAGATACAGCGTACTGCACCTCTGCACCTCTGGCCTCTTTGTGCTGAGCTGACTGACAAGTGCAGGACAGTCCCTGGCCTCCTGCTTCACAGGGCACCAGAACCCCACCACCCCCCATAACCTGCTCAATAAATGTTCCCTGCCTGCAGACTTTACCTATGCTTAGTTTGGCTGTCAATCTCATTTATCTTTTTTCAGCGGTGATCAGGCAGATCTCTGTTCTGCAGAGCAGGATGAGCCACAACTTGACACCCTGAAAAACAAAGGGAGAAGGGTTCACATCAAGGAAACCCAGAGCCTTCCTTCACAGGAAGAAAAAGTGGCAAAATCCTCCTCTCAGAGCTTGGCCAAATAGAAATTGCCCAACAAAAGCCCAGTAGAGGAGCTCCAATGTAAAAAATACACCTGTCTCATTTACATCCCTGAGGAAGAGGGTTGAACTTAAACCCAAAATACCCTTCCTCCACCACTAAAACCTGAACACAAGAGGCTGTAAAAGGTTTTTACAGTTGGAATTGGCGTGAAGAGGAGAGTAATGCTGCAGTTTTCTAAAAGAATTTCAAATCAATCTCAATCCAAAATTTTAATCCAAGGATAGGGACCTGCAAGACTTAAATAGAGCAAACCATTCTTCGAAAGAAAAAGGTGGGGAGGTAGCATCAAGTTCTTGACACAAGCACACAGTCTACTCCATGGCACGCCACCTCCAGTCACAACCTTCATGAGCACCCCAGTCTGCTACATGGCAGAAGGCAACAGTTTCAGGTGCAAGCAGGGCTTTTTGGGAAGGACTGGCTTTAAGGAAGCATAACCTGGCACAGACAATTCAGGCCCTGAGTACAGAAGCAAACTGTAAAAGTGAGGCACTGATCCAAAAAACATGAATAAAATTGCTTTCAATGCTATTGCAGCCCTACTGGTATCCAAGACCAAATGCTTAATCGAGCCTCACATGACTCAGGTCATGGCCCCTTTGGTGTGGGAGAAATTGGCGGATGGTCGAACTTGGGGACCCAGGCTCAGCAGAGAGCTTGGTGGACCTTGACTTCGAATGTCAGGACTTGAAGGGGGCAAGAGAAGTGCAGAACCCCAGGTATTGAGGGGGTTCAGAAAAGCACCCAAAGGGCAGTAAGGCCAAGCAAGGGCTTTGGGTCGTGCCCCTTTGGTGCGCAAGAAACCTCCGGATGTTTCCACTTGCGGAGCCTGGCCCGTCTGAGGCATTGACCAAACTTGACCTCAAACATCAGGACTTGAACGGGACAAGAGAAGTGCAGATCCCCAGGGTTTGGGGGGTCTTTAAAAGGGTGCCCAAAGGGTGGTGGGGCCCAGAAAGAGATGTGGGTCCTGGCCTCGTCACTGGGGGAGAAATTGCCAGACGTTTGCACTTGCAGAGCTGGCTTCAGCTAAGGCCTTGGTCGACCTTGACCTTGAATGTCGGGGCTCGAAAGGGACAAGAGAAGTGCAGATCCCCATGGTTTATGGGGCTTTTGAAGGGCGCCCAAAGGGCGGTGAGGTCCAGCAAGAGCTTTGGGTCCAGGTCCCTTCAGTGTGGGAGAAATTGCCGGACGTTCGTACTTGTGGGGCTGTGCTCAGCAGAGAGATCAGGGGACCGTGACCTCGAATGTCAGAACATGAAGGGAGCAAGAGAAGCATAGAGCCCCAGGGATTGAGGGGGTCTTGAAGGATGCCCAAAGGGTGGTGAGTCCCAGAAGGAGCTTTGGGTCCTCGACCCTTCGGTGTGGGAGAAATGACCAGACATTTGCAATTGCAGAGCCAGGCCCGGAAAAGGCCTTGGCCGTCCCTGACGTCAAACACTGGGACTTGGAGGGGGCAAGAGAAGCACAGAGCCCCAGGGTTTGTAGGGTTTTGAAGGGCGCCCTAAAGGCACTTAGGCCCAGGAAGAGCTTTGGGTCCTGGCCCTTTCGGTTTGGGAGAAATGGCCAGATGTTTGCGCTTGCAGAGCCGGGCTCGGCGAAGGCCTCGGCCGACCGTGATGTCAAACAGCGGGACTTGGAGGGGTCAAGAGAACTGCAGAGCCCTGGGTTTATGGGGCCTTTGAAGGGCGCCTGAAGGGTGGTGAGGCCCAGCAAGAGCTTTGGGTCCTGGCCCCTTTGGGGTGGTACAAACCGTGGATGTCTGCACTTGCGGAGCAGGGCTTGGTGAAGGCTATGGCTGATCTTGACCTCGAATGTCAGGACTTGATAGGGGCAAGAGGTGCGCAGAGCCTCAGGATTGAGCAGGTCTTGAAGGGTGCCCAAAGGGCGGTGAGGCCCAGCAAGAGCTTTGGCTCCTGGCCCCTTTAGTGTTGGAGAAATCGCCAGATGTTTGCATTTGCAGAGATGTAATCGGCGAAGACCTTGGCTGACCCTGACATCAAACATCAGGACTTGAAGGGGTCAAGAGAAACGCAGAACCCCAGGGTTTTTGGGGCTTTTGAAGGGTGCCCAAAGGGCGGTAAGGCCCAGCAAGAGCTTTGGGTCCTGGCCCCATTGGTGTGGGAGAAACCGTTGGATGTGTGCACTTGCGGAGCCAGGCTTGGGTTTGGTCTTATCGGACCTTGATCACAAAAGTCTGAACTTGAAGCGGCAAGAGAAGCGAAAAATCGTCAAGGGGCCCTTTGAAGGGTGCCCAAAGGGTGCTGAGACCAGAAGAACTTTGGGTCCTGGCCCCTTTGGCGCAGAAGAAACCACAGATGTCTGCACTTATGGAGCAGGGCTCAGCGAAGGCCTGGGCTGACCCTGACGTTGAACATCAGGACTTGGAGGGGTCAAGAGAAGCGCAGAGCCCCAGGGTTTGTGGGGCGTTTGAAGGGTGTCCAAAGGGCAGTGAGGCCCAGAAAGAGCTTTGGGTCCTGGCACCTTTGGGGTGGGAGAAACTGTGGGATGTTCTCACTTGTGGAGCCAGGCTAAGGTTTGGGTTTGTTGGCCTTGACCTCGAACGTCAGGACTTGAGTGGGCAAGAGAAGCGTAGAGCCTCAGAGGTTGG